AATGACCTCCTCTCTGATGGCCGCAAGCTCTTTGGAGGCAACAATTGCCATGGTGTGTTTACAGCACTCGACCTCGCACTCGTAGGCACGCTGGAAGGAGGTGCCGATGGTGATGACCCCACATGGACCCGGCATCTTCAACTTTAGATAGGTGTAGTTGGGGACAGCCATGAACTTCACGTAGCATGGACGTCCCAGGATGGCGTGGTAGGTCCCGTGGAACCCGACCACCTCGAAGGTAAGGGTCTCTGTCCTATAATTGGTCGAATTCCCGAAGGTGATGGGTAGATCGATCTGCCCAAGTGGCATGGCCTGCTTTCTAGGCACTATGCTGTGGAAAGGCGCCCCGGTCGATCGAATGCGCGATCGGTCAATGCCTATGGCGTCGAGCATTTCAGCGTACATGATGTTGAGGCCGCTGCCTCCATCTATCAGCACCTTGGTAAGCCGCTTCATGCCGATGATTGGGTCAACCATGAGCGGGTATCTTCTCGGCTGCGGGACGCTTTTTGGGTGGTCGGTCCGATCAAAGGTTATGGCGGACTCTGACCATCGGAGGAAGGAAGGCACGGCTGGCTTGGTCGTATAGACCTCACGGCGTGTAAGCTTTTGGCAGCGCCTGGAGTCATAGGTTGTCAACCCTCCAAAGATCATGAGGCAACCATCCAGCATAAAAAATCCATCGTCCTTCCCCTCGGTGTCGTCTACGACCGGCTTGGGCTCCTTCCTATGCTCCCCCTTGTTGGAGCCTTCAAACAAGAACCGCTTTATGAGGACGCAGACTTTGTATAGGTGCTTGAGGGGAAAGCATGGTTCGGGCATGGCCCTTCGAGCAGCTTCTCGAAGTGGTTCAGGGTACCCTCGGTGGGCTTTCGACCCCCCCCCCCTTGTGGTCGACAGTGGCCATGAGCGAGCCCTCGCGCTGCTACTTGTTCTTCTTCTTGTTTGGGCGGTTGGAGGCACCTTCGTCGGTGTCCTCATCCTACTTTGTCTTGCCCTTGGGGTGGTCGAGAATCGCCCCAACCGCCTCCTTGCCCGAGGCGTGGCTGGTGGCGATGTCGAGGAGCTCCTTGGTGGTTTACAGGCCCTTACGTCCCAGCTTGTGAACTAGGGACTCACAGGTGGTTCCAGACAGGAAAGCTCCTATGATGTCGGCGTCGGCGACGTCGGGCAGCTCGTTGCACTGCCGGGAGAAACGCTGGATGTACCCACAAAGAGTTTCCCTGGATTTTTGTCGGTAGTTTTTGAGATCCCATGGGTTCCCAGGACACGCGTATGTGCCCTGGAAATTTCCCACAAAGATCTATTTTAGGTCCGCCCAACTTTGGATTCGGTTGGGCGGAAGGTGTTCCAACCACGTTCGCACTGAATCGGCTAGGAACAATGGAAGGTTGCGGATAATGAAATCGTCACTATCCGCTTCACTGGCATGGCAAGCAAGCCGATAATCCTTGAGCCACAATCCAAGGTTTGTTTCCCCGGAGTATTTTGGGATGTTGGTCGGTGGTCGGTACCATGGTGGGAAGACGGCGTTGAGGATGCGTCGGCCAAAGGCCTGAGGTCCTGGCAAGTCGGGGCTCAGGCTTTGATCCTCACTACTGTCATAGCGTCCACCACGACGAGGGTGGTAGCCACGGCTAGCCTCCTCCCTCTCATTGCCGTGGGCATCGAGATGCTCATGAACCAAGGCCGCGACGCGTGGTGGGGCGCATCGCTGCGCCTGGTGGACTAACACGTCCCTATCGGGTCGCTCTGAGGGAGCACGTTGGCTGGCATCGAGCTCGCATCATCGGGACATCGAGCTCTTGGCCTGCTGTGCCACCGCACGCTAGAGTAGCGTGCGAATCTCATGATGGGCCCGACGATCGTCGGGTGTAAAGGGCTTCAGAAGCCCCTAGAGCAAGGCCGCTGCGACAGCGATGTTCTGACTTGCCCAGGTGAAGTGTGGGAGGGCTTCATTGTCCTCGATGATCCTCCGGTTTAGGTCGCGGGCCATGGCATGCGCACGCCCACTGTCTCCATGGCGCTCGATCTCTCGCTCGAGCTCCGCGCGTTCCTGCTCGAGCTGGAGTCATGCTTCTTTGAGCTCTTGGTGCCACGCCCTTAGCTGCTCTACCCACAGGCGAGGTGGGGCCCCTGCATCCCCCTTGACCTCGTCATCAAGGTCGTCTGTTGGGGTAGCCCCTCCCTCATGGATGCTTTTGATGTATCCCTCGGAGGTACCTGCCATGAAACATTCACGCGAGGGGTGATGGCTCCCCCTGCTAGAGTCAGAGTCGGAGAACGACTCTGATTCTCCGGCGAGGAGGATGTGAAAAGATTCCACGACGTATTCGGACATCCATGAACTTGTCTTTCGTAGGTGATGGGGGCATGCGCTGCGCCACAAGGTGGCCAACGGTCTCTATGGCGTGGCCTAGACTGGACGGGAGCGCAGTCGGAGCGCTCCGGATGAGGTATTCCGGGAAGAGCGGCACTCCTTCGGTAAGCTGCATCATGACATTGGCGAACGAGAAGGTGAGGCGACGCAGGTCCTCCCGGGATGGTTGGGGTTCTAGGAAGGCGCTGAACTGGCGCTCTAGCCTCCCGTAATCGAAGCCGAGGAGCTGGTCGCTCCCGGAGACGTGGGCCTCCGATGAGTGCAGCTGCAGCTCCTCAAGCGCCTCGACGATCGCATCGAGGCCGGTGGAGTGGAGAGGCTGGACGGTGGCAGGAACCTGTGCCAACTCTTCCTCCGTCGTAATGATGAAGTCTAGGTTCCCGAAAGCACACGTGCGTGCCCGGGATCTAGCTGATGCCGTGACTAGCCATCCGAGGCCTAATGTGGACGTCGAGACGCGCAAAAAACCTCTACCTGGTGTGCCAACTATCGGTGTTTTTGGACCACCGACGAGTATATTTGTATTTACGCGTCTGACTCGGATGGTGTGCTCGAAGGACACAAGGGTTTATACTGGTTCGGACGGAACGTCCCTACATCCAGTTTGTTGCTGCTTGTGTTACCGGCACTTGATTTACAGTAGGGGTTACAAACAGGCAAGAGAGGGAGAGGATCCCAGGTCTCTGGTGGAAGGAGTGAACAGGTGCTGAGAGCTCGTTTGCCGCTCAGCCGTGTGCTCGTGTCGTGCTCTTGTGTTTTCGATTTCCCCCCTCTCTCCTCCATGGGGCGCCCTGCTTCCCCTTTTATAGACGAAGGAAAAGCGCGGATTACAGAGGAGGAAAAGTAGAAGAAAGAGAGAGAGAAGGCTTCCGGGGTTGTCGGGTCCTTCTTCTCCTTTATGCGGGTCCCGTTGATCCTGTATATGTCAACAGGAACAGCTCCATGTCGCGGTCCTGTTCGTCACTGGCGCCATGAGCAGGCGTCATCTGTCGGTCATAGCATTCCACTCCGTCCCGGCGAACGTCGTGGTGAACTGACGCGTCTGTCAGCGTCCGTACAAGGATTAAGCAGAACAACACCAGCACGTTCGATACTGTTCTTGATGTGAATCCCTAATTATGGCCCGTCATGGCCACGGGTTACATCAATGCGTGTCAGCCTCTTCCCTTGCGTCAGAGTTTTGACCCAGGTCCATACGTTTGGACCTGGAGTGGTTGGCGACGGTATGGATCCCCATCGAACGAGACGGAAACCATGTCCTCGAGGCCGGGCGAGACGGAGCCCGCCACCTTGGGCGAGACGGAGCCCGCACCCAAGGGGTTGGACGAGACGAAGCCCGTGACCTTGGATGAGACGGAGCCCGCACCTAAGGGGTCTGACGAGACGGAGCCTGCGACCTCAGGGTCAGGTGAGACGGAGCCCGCACCCAAGAGGTCAGACGAGACGGAGCCCACGGCCTTAAGGTCGGACGAGATGAAGCCCACGATCTTGGGATCAAACGAGACCTTTTAATACGTCTCAAGTCATCCATAAAAATTAACGTGAGTGCTAACCTTATTATTTTGTGTATCCCTGATATCGATACCCACCGCAACCAATGCGAGCATCATGTGGCCAAGATGGGGCTGGCAGGTGGAAATGAAACGAAGCGCGAGCCCGAGATGCCTGGGAATCCTATTTCCTTCGTCCTTTTCTTTTCTTCTCCCAGCGTGAACCGTGGAATCTTCACGCAGAACGACGATCAAAACCCACCCCGAAATCCTAAAAATCACCATTAACCGAGAATTTCCGAAGAGTGTTGTTGTCTGTATGGTGACGAATTCTGGGACTCTGGCCACACCAACACCTCCCTTCCCCCGCTTTTGCCGCATCCATGGCCCAACTGCCGCGCGTGAATACCCGTGACGCTGGCCTCTGGGCCCCCGGGCGGGGGCCGTCCAGCTCTGCTCCAGCGCGAGACAGGCGAGATGAGTCAGGCGCAAAACGCCCCCGCCTTTTGGTGCAGGGATCGCGGAGCTTTACAGCCACCGTCGCGTGGTCCCCACGCGTCGGCGAGCGTGAGCTGGCGTCGTCTTCCCCGCCGCCCCGGCTCTTCTCGTGCCCTCGCCGCTGCGCGAGACCGGGTTCAAACCGGCGCGACCGGGAGGGGGTAGTCCCGTTATTATCACGCCGGGGCGGCTGCAGCCCTAGTCTAGCACAAACGGCGGGAGGGGCCCACGCATGTGCCACCGGCCCTCTCCCCCTGCCCCTGTGCCCTGTACTACCCCTCTCTCTCTTCTTCACTTAAGCCCTTGTTTAGTTTCACCCTAACTTCTAAAAAGTTACTACAGTATCTATCATATCGAATGTTTGCGGCCCGTGTATAGATCATTAAATGTAGACGAAAAGAAAAACTAATTACACAGTTTAGTGGAAAATTACGAGACGAACGTTTTAAGCCTAATTAGTCCATGTTTAAACACTATTTGCCAAATAAAAACGAACGTGCTACAGTAGCCCTGAAATCCAAATTTCTTCAACTAAACGAGGGCTAAATCTCACCTCCCAAAACATACTCCAGTTTCTCTCTCTTCTCTTCTCATCTCATCTCTCCCCCAACTCTCTGTCACTCTCTGACGCAATGCCGTTTCCCACCGCCTCCACCGCGCGGCGGCGGCGGCGGTACGAGGGCGCCGCCGGTCGGTGGTGCGGGCTCGTGGTCCTGGCTCTGATGGCGCTCGCGGCCGGCGCGGCGGCGGAGACGTCGCCGTCGGACGTGGCGGCGATGCGGGCGGTGGCGAAGGCGCTTGGCGCGGACAAGACGCTGGGATGGGACGTCGCCGGCGATCCCTGCTCGCCGAAGCGGTGGGACGGGGTGTCCTGCGACAAGTCGGGCCGCGTCACCGCGATCCAGGTCGGGAAGCGCGGCCTCACGGGGACCCTGCCCCCGGAGGTGGGCGACCTCACCGAGCTCACTCGCCTCGAGGTTTTCGAGAACAAGCTCTCCGGCCCGCTGCCCTCGCTCCCGGGGCTCTCCTCGCTTCAGATTTTACTTGCCCACAACAACAGCTTCACCTCCATCCCCGCCGACTTCTTCAAAGGCCTCACCGGGCTCACCGCCGTCTCCATCGACTACAACCCGTTCACGTCGTGGACGCTCCCCGCCTCCCTCGCCGACTGCGCCTCCCTCGCCAACTTCTCCGCCAACGGCGCCAACGTCTCTGGCACGCTCCCGGACTTCTTGGGTGCGATGCCGGTGCTCCAGCGGCTGTCGCTGGCCTTAAACCAGCTGTCAGGACCCGTACCGGCGTCGCTGGCCCGCGCGCAGCTGGTGCAGCTCTGGCTCAATGGCGGGCATCTCAATGGGTCGATTAGCTTTGTCAGCAACATGACCTCTCTGGAGCAACTGTGGCTGAATCTTAACGAATTCACTGGGCCCTTGCCGGACTTCGCGAGGTTTGATAATCTATGGGATTTGCAACTTCGCGACAACAAGCTCACAGGACCGGTGCCTGAGAGTCTTTTCAAGTTGAAGGCCCTGAAGAAGGTGACCCTGACGAATAATTTGCTGCAGGGTCCGATGCCTCAGATTCCTGATCAACTTGTTGCAGGGACAGACATGGAAGCAGATTCAGAGCGGTTCTGTGTGCAGGAATCCGGGAAGCCATGCGATCCCCGTGTGAGCCTGCTGCTCGAGGTTGCTGCTGGGTTCATGTACCCGGCCTCACTTGCTGAGGATTGGAGGGGGAATGATCCGTGTAGGTTTCCGGGTGTTAGTTGCATCCAAGGTAACATTACTGGGCTGACTTTTACCAACAAGGGTCTCAGTGGAAGTATCTCACCGGCCATCGGGAAGATTAGCTCACTTATGGTGCTAAATCTTGCTAACAATAACATCACTGGTACTGTGCCTGAGGAGGTTGCCGCGTTGCCTTTGCTGACAGATGTCGATTTGTCAAACAACAATCTCTATGGGAAACTTCCTACCTTTGCTTCCAAGAGTGCAGTGGTGAAAACTGCTGGTAACCCTAACATAGGCAAGGATGCTCCTGCACCAGCGGCAGGATCAGGCGGTAGCAACAACAGTCCATCGGGGGGAGGCAGCAGCGGAAGCAGTGGTAACAATGGGGGCTCCTCTTCGTCTTCTGTTGGAGTCATTGCAGGCTCAGTGGCTGGTACAGTTGTTGGACTAGGCCTTGTTGCTGCATTAGGTTTCTATTGTTACAAGAGAAAGCAGAAGCCTTTCGGAAGGGTGCAGAGTCCACATGCCATGGTTATCCATCCATGGCACTCAGGTTCAGATGACATGGTTAAAATCACAGTTGCAGGGGGAAATGCTAATGGTGGTGCTCGCACAAGCGAGACATATAGCCAAGCGAGCAGTGGTCCACGGGACATCCATGTTGTTGAAAGTGGAAATATGGTCATTTCAATCCAAGTTCTCCGCAATGTGACCAACAACTTCAGCGAGGAGAACATCCTTGGTCGAGGAGGGTTTGGCACTGTTTATAAGGGTGAGCTTCATGACGGCACAAAAATTGCTGTAAAGCGGATGGAGGCTGGTGTGATGGGTAACAAGGGGCTAAATGAGTTTAAATCAGAGATTGCTGTTTTGACCAAGGTCCGTCACCGGAACCTTGTCTCGCTGCTGGGCTACTGCCTTGATGGCAATGAGAGGATTCTTGTGTATGAATACATGCCACAGGGAACACTGAGCCAACACCTGTTTGAGTGGTCAGAGAACAATTTGCGGCCATTGGAATGGAAAAAGCGACTTAGCATTGCACTTGATGTTGCAAGGGGTGTCGAGTACCTTCACAGCCTTGCCCAGCAGACCTTTATCCACAGAGACTTGAAGCCATCAAACATACTTCTTGGCGATGACATGAAGGCCAAGGTGGCAGACTTTGGATTGGTTAGGCTTGCACCAGCTGATGGGAAGTGTGTCTCTGTAGAGACGAGACTTGCTGGCACTTTTGGGTACCTTGCACCAGAGTATGCAGGTGATCATCCTATATTTCTTCTTTCCAAGTATATTGATTTTTTTTTGTTCAGTTGAATTGACAAGCACATTACATCTAACCTACAGCTACCTGTAATAATATCATTTAATGGTTAAACATTAATAGCTTCCTCCGAAATGACTATTCATTTCAACGACCAAGCAGTCAAGCATACATTTGAGCTATGGCATATACTGATATACATAATAGTATCATGAATACTTGCATATTACCATCTTTCCTCTAAAATGACTTTTTAGTTGTGAATAATGTATTATATGGTAAAAATCAGCTAACTTACTACTGTAATTTTTCTTCCCTGGTGCATGTGCAGACCCTTATTATACTCTGGCATCGCCCCTGGTTGTGGCTTGTGACTTGCTTCTCGTACCTTCCATGAGAGATACTTTAGGTGCTCACTAAGAAATTTGTTTTCCAAATGTGATACCTGAAAAGATCTTTTAAATTTTGGTTGACCTTGCGATCAACTAGAATAAGTTTATCCGGAGTAAGCGCCATTTAAAATTGTAAATGTTCTTTCACCCCAAGCATTACTATCTATCGGTGGATTACCTATATTCAGCATAAACTTAACGTTTGCGTGCTGGACCATTCCCTTGTACCATTAAGACATTTTCAATAGCCCAAGACCATCAATGGAGCTTTAATTGTACCTTTCACTTGTAACTATTGTTTTGCCCTTCATCTTCCTGTTAGGAAACAAGGAACCTAAATTGTTAGCTATTATCATCTTTCCTGCATTGTCCTAATTGATAATTTCAGCCATTCTCCTTTTTGAAAAGCGTGTCGATGAATTTAAATATGCTACTCACAACATCTGTCTAACAGAAATGAACATTTTTATGTGCAGTTACTGGACGTGTGACAACAAAAGCTGATGTCTTCAGCTTTGGTGTAATCTTGATGGAACTGATTACAGGACGCAGGGCACTTGATGAGACTCAGCCTGAAGACAGCATGCATTTAGTTACATGGTTTTGGAGAATGCAGCTCAACAAGGAAACATTCCGCAAAGCAATCGACCCTGTTATTGACCTTGATGAGGAGACATATGCTAGTGTTTGTACTGTTTCAGAGCTTGCTGGTCACTGCTGCGCTAGGGAAGCACACCAGAGGCCTGACATGGGCCATGCTGTTAATGTTCTCTCTACCCTTTCGGAAGTTTGGAAACCAACCGACCCAGACTCTGATGACAGCTACGGTATCGACCTGAACATGACCCTGCCTCAGGCTCTGAAGAGATGGCAGGCATTTGAGGATAGCAGCTACTTTGACGGTGCAACCTCTTCATTTGTTGCAAGTTTGGATAACACTCAGACGAGCATCCCTACGAGGCCTCCTGGATTCGCGGAGTCGTTCACCTCTGCTGACGGAAGATAGACAGTTAGCTGCTACTGCTAGGGTGTGCAAATCCTTATGCTTCCGTTGAAATAGAAGGTTCAAGCGATCCTTGTGTTCATTCTTTTAGTCTCTTCACCCCCAATCTTTCTGTCTCTTTATTCGGCTCTGTACTGCCGTGTAGCTGCTCTTTGATCATGTATGCTGTGATCTTGTCTCAGAATTGCCTGGAAGTTCGAAAAATTTGCTAACTGGCGATGTCATTTGCTAAGATTAAAGTAGAAGAATGCTAGGGTTGTTGGTTTGTATTGGATATTGACAATTTGCAAAAGAAGGTAATCCTGTATTCGTCGAAAAGTATGACCCTGGCCTGAAGTATTTCCATGTTCTTCTGAAGCAACGCCTCTGCTATGATCATTTCACTGGTACTTACTGTTATCAGTTAATACCCTTTTTTTTCCCTCTGGGATGGCCATAAAGGTTCATGAGTCCATGACACTACCTGTAATAGTTCAATTATACGTCATGATCTGGTGTCTTATCTGTCCATGATCGTCGTTCAGATAGATACCATTTCATGTGAGTCTAACCAGGTCAAGTATAGAGCTAACATGTTTTGGCTTTTGGTTACCTGGACATTGAAATGGCCAGGTGAGCGTCAAATCTCCAGAGCAGAAGCTTCAGGTAATCAGCAGTGTTCATGTGAGGCCCCAAGTCCTATTGTGCTGCTGCACCTAATTCATGTGAGGCAGAGTTCACATCACTAAACAACGCACCAGCTTCAGCTGTGCTCCGAAGCTTTTGTTTGCTCCAGACCGTGGATCCTGCAAAACAAAACCAGGGCGCTAACTGAACTCCCCACGCTAACAACCTGTCCACCGGTAGGAACCCGGGACAGACAGCGATGCACTGCTGATTTGCTGGAGAAGCGTCCGCTGCCCGCCTACTTGCCTGAAACGAAGGCAAAGACAACGGGGAGGAAAACGATGGGGCCCGTGTGCATATCTGGTGACAACGAGGCTGGAATTTGCGATCCAGTTGTCTGATCGTGACTCCAGTGCATGGCCCTGTTCCATTGGATTGGATTATTTGTTTGTGAACGCACTCTTGCCGCCTGATATTCTTCTACTCGTATTTTTGGCGATGGCGCAGTCCATCCAGCCCTGTGCGCGGGCGTGTGGGGTGTGCGGTGTACTGTTGCGGCGCCTGGCGTACTGGCGTTTGGACTTTGTACAAACTACAGAGCCTTATCTTCAGGGGTAGCTTCCAAATTGTGTCCGTCTCAAACCCAGGGTGGCAATGCGCTGCAGCAGCAGCAACACTCCTAATTTTCGTTTCAAGAAGATGCACACGATACACGTCACTGGGTCTGGGTGGTATATTTCTGGACCTCCTTGACCAATTGGTGGTGCTCTGCAGCGCAATTCTGTGATCTCGACTATTCCATCTGGTTTGTCTGTGACCGGACGCGGACTCGCTGATCCGACACCGGCGTCTGTCGCGTGAGCCAGATTCGGCTGGCTGGCCTCGACCGTTCTGGGCGGGGACCATGCAATGCAAGCGCTGCCTGCCTGCGCTGGCGATGCAGGAAGAGTCGTTTCCCCGGTGGACCGGTCCTTAGATTTCCGTATTTTGTGTGCGCGCGCGCGAGCGCATTGGTGCTCGTAGGATTGCAACGACACGACACGACGTTTTCGTTCTTGAACAAATGGCACAGCATTTCCGAGGGGAACCTAAGGGCGTCCTCAATGAGCAGGGCAAATCGCCAGCTTGCGTGGCGTGATGTAGAAATAAAGAAAAGCCAAAAAAGACCAGCCATGGAGGTGGGTCATACGGTCAGAGGCAATACAGTTTACCGGGGTGTTTGCGAGCCTAGATGAAGTCACTAGCGACGAGATTTCCTGCGCTCTCTCTCTCTCTCCTCCACATAGGCCTCCTAGCTCTGATTCCCTTGTTGGGGACGCCCGAAAGACGCGTATCGGGTTCTCTAAAACCTGTGGCCGGCTAACGGTGCGGCTGATCTTGCCAGCGCGATGCGATCGCGACAGCTCCAGCCGCGGCCGGTGCCATGGCCGTCCGGAGCAGGCGCTGCCGCTCGCCCGCTGGCCGCTGCTCGGGATGGAATCGCATCTGAGATCCGACGGCGAGAAACTGGCGGGAATACAGCCCGTCGTCAGGTGACTGGGCAGGGCACAGCTGCACAGGTCTGGGCGCGGTTGGGCGCGAAACCGCGAGGGTCCGACCGTGCGACCGACCGGCGGAGTTTGCGCTGTCGACTCGCGCGTGCGCAGCGCCCGCGGTGGCCCGTGACCGCCAGCCAGAGACGTCGTGTGGAAAGCGCCGCGCGGACCCTTCCCTTTCCAGGCTCGCCGAAACCGAACGAAAGGCGAACCAAGCCACCCAGGCCGGGGCCCGGCGGCCGGCGTCGGGCGTCGGCTTTGCCTTCGCATCCCCGTTTTGCTCTCCGGCACAACAATTAACAGTTGCGTTCTTGCGGCACCGTCGTGCGCGCTCGGCGCTCCCTGGCCCCTACGACTTGGCAATGGTTGGCGCCCCCCAGTCTCTCGTGGTGTGAGTCCTCGGGCAGGTGGCGTCGCGTCTGTCGCCCGAAAGGGCTGGCTGGCGCGAACTGCTTGCGCTTTAGCGCGTTGAGCCGGTGACCGGTGACCGCTCGCGCTGCCCTGGCCCGCTGCCCTGCCGTGTCGCGCTGTGCATGGCGTGGCGTGACCACTGCGTCTGCCAGTCCGCGTCCGCGTCAAGCACGCAGGTGGGCTCTAGGTTGATCCGATACATCATCGTCGACTGGATCAGGTCGAATGTCCTACTCGCTGGTCGCTGCAGTGTACGTACAGGCTAGCTGGCCGGCGTAAAGGGACGCTGTCACTCTCCTCGTCTTCTCGGGCTTTTTACAGCTGCTAGCTGGAGTGGCGTAGAACTGCAGCAGAAGAGGGCTTTGCGACGATGGATCGCCAAGGCCGCTGGGGCTATCCCTTGCATGTTGCAATTGGATAAGGCTGCGTGCCTGCGTCAGGCCATCCCGCCGCTTCAGTCGATACTCGATACGGCTAACCGGCGTTGCATTTTACTCGAACAATTGGGCCACAGGGAATACCAAGCTACTTGATTCTGCTTAGTGAATCGTTTTAGTTTTGAGAAAGCGACCACAAAACCCGACGAAGTCAAGCTTCTGTAGATACTGAAACTGATCCTTTTGTGGCAAGATTTTCCTTTGACGAGACGGCAACGTCACAAGTTTCACATTTTTTTCTGTATTTATTTTGGTAACTTTATCAATCTCAACATTTGTTAGCTTAATCTTTTAGAGATGCTCGTAGGAAAAAGTTTTGTGTGTGTCTACGTAAGTCGTAAAAAAAATTGGTGCTATTGTCTAATTGCATATTATTATGTAGACCACCGGACAAAAAAAAAGGGGAAAACCACACTCGTCGTAGCCTTCTTGATCATGCCGTGTTATTCTAACTGGGCTTTACTTTTAGGTATGGGTGTCTGTCTTATTGGGCCAGTTTATGCCGGAGTTGCTGGGTTCATTCGGCCCGAGCTGTGCAACTGACGGTTGTGCCCGTAAATAGCCTTCCCAAAAAAAAATCGGGGACAGTAAATTCGGTGTACGATATGTCGCAATCCCAAGTGCGACTGTAATAATGCATATAAGTTGCACCCTCTTCTAAATATTTATTATTTTTCCTACAAGTAGAACATCCTTCTGACCTTCTCTATATGGAATTCTTTCTACAGCAAAACATCAATATATATGCCGTCGAAACAAGTGGGTAAATTTTTCTATCTTAGAAAGGGGTAGGTAAAAAATGTTCCACCAAACATAGTACCACTATATGGCGGATTCAGTGACACAACGTAACTTTCCCACCTCCATCCACTATTCAATACAGATCCAACGGCCGACAAGCAATCCAGCGTAAAGTATCAGTATTTTATAGGAAAGCATAGAGCAGAGGCCCCCGCGCCGGCTTCTTCACGTGCCGCCGCACCGCGTTGACGTCGTACACCGCCGCGCCGTCCTCGGCGGGGCTTGCCTGCATCAGCCCTCGCGTGTCGCTGCGCCGCCGCTCCACGCTCCCATGGGGCTCGCCCACGTTGGTACGGCATGCGACGAGCGTGCGAGGCCGTCGCGGAGGGCTGCACCGCGAGCGGCTACCGTCGCGGACACCACGTGCGCGGCCGGCGTGGCGAGCTCGCGGCCAGCGTTGTGTGCGTGCACGGCCCGGCCAGCGCGGAGGGCGGCGTGGGCACAGGGCGCGGCGATCGGGCGGCCGGCACGGGATACGGCGGGCGTGCACGGCTGGTGCGAAGGTTGGCACGGCAAAGGGGGCGGCCAGCGCGGCGACGATGGGTCTCCTTCGGAGCGGAGCGGTGCCTCACGTGGGACTTCTGGCCCCTCCGGGGAGGCGCGGATAGCAACTAGGTGCAGCAGAACTGCAGTGTGGCAGGTTGCGATGCCATGCTCTGCAATGCTCCAAAGTCCTACAGCATGGCCTCTGCCATGCTCTGCTATGCTCCTAAGTCCTACAGCATGGCCTCCTCATTGATGTCCCTGTCCAGGACGACAGCGGCTCAATAGGAGAAATCAAGCAATTTTGCACAATTTGTATTTGGGAGAAATCAAGCAACCAAGTGCGGTGGATTTTTGGGTCGAAACAAAATATGAAGTTGGAGTCTCCACTGCCATTAATGGCGTGAATGTGTTTGCGAGCAGCGCGTAGCTGGTCGTCGCCGGGAGATAGGCATGCGATGTAGCCAGCAGCCGTGGCCGGAGACGAACCGCGAATGAGGAGAAGCAGAGGCCTTGTTCTAGCGAGTGGTATGGTCTGGCACTGGAGACGGTGGCGGCACTTCATTGACGCGGCACTGAGCCCCAACGAGCGGCGGCAGCCCGGCCCTCCACCCCCTCCGGCACGGTGCAGGAATCTTGCTGGAGGCCCGACCCTCCACATCCTCTGCACGTAGTCCAAGCGTGTGTACCTTGAACACCGACGAGGATCTTGAGGGCATTGAAGAAGCGT